GTGTGTGTGTGTGTGTTTGGCTTTGGTGGCATTTGGGGGCAATTTTAAGACAAAAATCCCACCTTTGGGGACAGCTGGTGCATTTGGGGACAAAAGTCGAGTCCCCATTTGGTTTAAATGCCATTGGTGGGTTGGGGGTTGGGTTTAGAACCAAGGTGTGAATTGAGTTTAGGTTAGTTTTAGGGTCAGGTTAGGGTTTGTTAGCTTAGCCTTAGTGTTTGTGGTCGGGGTTAGGCTGTAGGAATGTAATGGAATTCAGTGGAATGTCCCCAAATGAATAGCTGTGCAAACTTGTGTGTGTGTGTGTTAGTGTGTGCACGTGCCCAGCTGTGTTTGAATGCCACTGATGGATAAGACAGAGGATGGAGGAAGAGGGTGTGTGTGTGTGTGTGTGTGGGGGGGGGGGTAACTCAGCCCCCTCAGGCCCGAGATGCTGAGTTGTCATCCCGCTCACACACACACACACACACACACACACACTCATCACCTTCCCGATTTTCCCTGGTCAAGGACATCCAGTGGGCACAGCCTGAAGGGACAAACATGTCTGAACAGGTAGCAGGCAGCTGGCCTCAAACATCAACGTAATGCGTCTCATCAAAAGTCACCACCGCACAGCAAATGTAAGCAGTGAAACAAAACAAAACATAGCTCACAAATGAAAGCACAAGTATGACGAGTGGTGTACTCTTTCCTTCATCAGTCACCGGGGAAATATTTTTTCTAACATTTCGATAGAAAAAAAAATGAGTGAATAATTTTAACAGTAAACATTAATGTGGATTTTTTTCCAAACTTTACAAATTGATCCAGACAAAACTCACAGCTACACAGTATATGTGTTTTTGTTTTGTACAGAGTCTTGTATTTGTCACCCTTAAAAGGTTTGATGAGAGAAATTAACTAAAAACCCAGGGATGATGTGTTGGCGCCCCCTGCTGGCAGCAGGCCTCCAAACGCAGCTCTCGGGGGTCAGATTACACAGTTTCCCAAAGGAAACCAAATCTCTGTGTCCAGCAGTTCCTCCTCCAGTTTAATGCTTGTCGCTCCAATAAACGTCTTCTGTCTTTTCTTGCTCTTCACCGTCACCAGTAACACCATCCCTTGCAACAGCGGGATATTTTTGTACTCCAGCTGTGAAAATGAGGCAGAGACTTCAGCTAGCACACAAACGGCAAATTGTGAAAGAGTTTGAGGAATTTTAGGTCTGAAAGTTTAGTCAAAACTCTGCAAACAAGGATTTTTTTAAATTGTTTTGATTAATTTGACTTTGTCAGGACTTCACTTACAGTGGGGAGAACAAGTATTTGATACACTGTTGATTTTTCAGGTTTTCCCACTTGCAAAGCTTGTAGATGACAGTAACTTTTATCATAGGTACTCTTCAACTGTGAGTGATRGAATCTAAAACAAAAATCCAGAAAAATACAATGTATGATTTTTAAATAATTAATTTCCATTTTATTGTGTGAAATAAGTATTTGATACACCAGAAAAATGAAACAATATTTGGTACAGAAACCTTTGTTTGTAATTACAGAGATCAGACGTTTCCTGTAGTTCTTGACCAGGTTTGCACACACTGCAGCAGGGATTTTGGCCCACTCCTCCATACAGATCTCCTCCAGAGCCTTCAGGTTTCGGGGCTGTCGCTGGGCCACACGGACTTTAAGCTCCCTCCAAAGATTTTCTATTGGATTCAGGTCTGGAGACTGGCTAGGCCACTCCAGGACCTTAAGATGTTTCCTACGGAGCCACTCTTTAGTTGCCCTGGCTGTGTGTTTTGGGTCGTTATCATGCTGGAAGACCCAGCCACAACCCATCTTCAGTGCTCTTACTGAGGGAAGGAGGTTGTTGGCCAAAATCTCACGATACATGGCCCCATCCATCCTTCCCACAATATGGTGCAGTCGTCCTGTCCCCTTTGCAGAAAAGCATCCCCAAAGAATGATGTTTCCACCGCCATGCTTCACGGTTGGGATGGTGTTCTTGGGGTTGTACTCATCATTCTTCTTCCTCCAAACATGACGAGTGGAGTTTAAACCAAAAAGTTCTATTTTTGTCTCATCAGACCACATGACCTTCTCCCATTCCTCCTCTGGATCATTCAGATGGTCATTTGCAAACATCAGACGGGCTTTGACATGCGTTGGCTTGAGGAAGGGCACCTTGCGTGCACTGCAGGATTTTAATCCTTGACGGCGTAGAGTGTTACTGATTGTTTTCTTTGAGACTGTGGTCCCAGCTCTATTCAGGTCATTGACCAGGTCCTGCCGTGTAGTTCTGGGCTCATTCCTCACCTTCCTCAAGATCAATGATGCTCCACGAGGTGAGATCTTGCATGGCGCCCCAGACTGAGGGAGATTTTCCGTTATTTTGTATTTCTTCCATTTTCTAATAATTGCACCAACTGTTGTTGCCTTCTCACCAAGCTGCTTGCCTATTGTCCTGTAGCCCATCCCAGCCTTGTGCAGGTCTACAATTTTATCCCTGATGTCCTTACACAGCTCTCTGGTCTTGGGCATTGTGGAGATGCTGGAGTCTGATTGATTGAGTGTGTGGACAGGTGTCTTTTATACAGGTAACGAGTTCAAACAGGTGCAGTTAATACAGGTAATGAGTGGAGAACAGGAGGGCTTCTTAAAGAAGAACTAACATGTCTGTGAGAGCCAAAATTCTTACTGGTTGATAGATGATCAAATACTTATTTCACACAATAAAATGGAAATTAATTATTTAAAAATCATACATTGTATTTTTCTGGATTTTTGTTTTAGATTCCATCACTCACAGTTGAAGAGTACCTATGATAAAAATTACAGTCATCTACAAGCTTTGCAAGTGGGAAAACCTGAAAAATCAACAGTGTATCAAATACTTGTTCTCCCCACTGTATCATGCTGTGAGGATAGCAGTCACAGGAAGAATGTGTCACATCAAAGTCAGAGTGGTATCTCTTCATCTTAAGATAAAATACACACACATGGTTCACCTAAAACAGATATTTTTATAGTACAACAGGTGAAGGTGGATGACGATGCCCGTGTATGGGTTCTGTTGCAACACAGAGTGTCTAAAACTTAGTCCGTTTTTCAGGTACTGAGCTCAAACCTGTTGTGGTTGTAGCTGAGAGTCATTAACAACACACATTTTGAGGATGACATTGTTTGTCGACATCGTATTAAGACAGCAGCAACGTCTATTCTTTCATACATACATAAGTCATTTAATATCTTTATTAACAAATCCAGATAAAGGGTTTGTTCAGGTATATTCTGTTCTTTTAAGATTACTGCACAATGTTTTTCAACAACACATCTAAAAAAACAGCGCTGTGTGTTTTATCATTTTAGTTTTATAAAATTATCCTAATTACACAATTTTTTGGTCCAAAACACAACAGCCATGTGCAATTGAACTAACAATGATTGGGGGTTTTGAAAGCTGTTTCATGTTTTATAAACAAGAATCTGTGACAAACCTAACCAGACTCTCAGGCTGTCTTCATAAATGTGACGTTTGGGTGGGGTTGGTTTGTAAAGCAGCTGCAGGAGAAAAAAGCCAAGAGGAAGTTTGAAAAAAAAAAAACTGGAAAAAAAATGTTTTTTTACGAGTTTCAACAAGTGGATTTATAAAAGAGTAACTAGTGATTAGATCATGTTAACAGGCGTTGGTCAGCTGAGACTACACACTAAGAAATGAAGTGTTGGATTTATGTTATGTCAACTGGTTTCACTTAACTGAGATGAGTAAATCCAAAACAATATACCCAGTTTCTAACCAAATACTGTGAGTATGTTGCTTTGAATTTACTCAACTCAGTTAAGTGGAACCAATTGACACAGCATGGTAAGTAAATCCAACATCTGTTTTTTAGAGTGTACGTGGTCTCCTTGATCCAACACAATGCTTAATAATTATAAACATTTGGCCCGCATCAAATGTTGTTTAACTCTCACTAAGACTGTAAGCAATACATTATGCTTGTTTAAAGTTTGGTTATTTTTTTAAGTTCTTTGACTTTGAGTTATAGGTTTGCTTCCGTTCCATTTTCATTTGTTTCCTGTTTTACTCTGTGAAACATTTTCTCTCAGTCCTGTCAGCTGCCTTTTTTCTGGCTTAGATTTGTTTTGCTTGTGTTCACTGCATGAACCCCCCCCCCCCATCCATTTTCTTTTTTCTTTAGTGACTTAATCATCTGTTGATCTACTTTTGTAAATTTACTGTTTTGTATTTAAGCAGAATTAGCTTTTGGTTTGTGGTTAATGTTGACATTTGTTGAGTGATGGGATGTTATTTTGGAAAGGAAAAATAACTGCACCGTGTTCTTTCTTAAGGATGAAATGTGAAGAGAAAAAAAATTACAAAAACATGTGAAAATACCCCTTGAATTAAATTTGAATTGTCATCAATGTAGCTGAGATTCCAGTGACAGATGTTTTGTTTCTGAAAAGGTTTCTAATGAAGTAAAACAACCTCGGTTTCTAAAGTTGAAGCCATAATATATATATATA